TCCCCTTCAATTGGAGAAGGGGAGTATATACCCAAGTTACCTGAGCTACAAGTATATGAGATGCATGGCAGAAAGATGTGCAAATGCTCTTGGCAAAAAGTTGACAGGACACAAATGGTTAGGTTTCTAATTCAGACTTTGGAGGGTAGTGAGAAGAAAGGAAGAAAGAACTAAAAACTAGGTATAGTTTATATGTAGTCTGTGTAGTACCCTAAATAAAACTTTGCTTTCTCTCTCAATATTTTAACAAGCTGGGTCAAAAATATCCCACAGCTTGTAACACCAGAAAAAACAAACACATGGAACCTCCCAAATATTCTTATAGGTTTGATCCAGTGTCCACGGAGCTCAGTTGAAAGACTCCTTTTCACTTAAATAAATGCTGGATTGGGTCCATGCAGACCACTGAAAAGACAAAGATTGGCAAGACACACAAGGTAGAGTTGGGCTGGTACTTTCCTGAATGGAGCCTCGGGAACTTTTCATTACTCATGTAATATCCCATACCAGCATGGTGAGAAACCACCTAACTTAAACAGAAAACAAGGAATTCCAGGCAGATTTATGAAGAGACTCCAAGAAGATTTTCTGTCTAGTTCAGGTTCCTGGCCAGATTAGTAAAATATTTCTATAACAACAAAGGACCTGCATTTTAAAATTGCATCTGAACAGTGCAACACACCCCAACCCCCATTTCCCAGCTTTTCTCTGTATCATATCCTAAAGTCTATATTAGCTATAACCAAAGTTCAGGCAAGAAAACAAAAAAGATTAATTCTGAAAGCAAAACACAGAAAATGATTATGCATAGATAGTCATCACACAGCAACCTGGCATCTCTGAGGTAGGTGATCTCCCTTTTTCTGGAAAAAGGTATGTGAATCTTCTCCCAATTATCTCTTTAGCAATTAGACTTTAGCCATACTCTGCCCTCAGCTAAAGCTTCCGTGCCTCTTCCCTGGACTCCATGATGAATGCATAGTGGTACTAAAGGATCTGTTTTATTGTCTGAAACATGTCATACCACACTCTTCATCAAAACACAGCTCTCTCTGACATGAAATACAGGACTTCTTATTTAACAGACACCGCACTACAGGCAAGGGGGAAAAAAGTGAAAAGACCAAGTTGTTATCCAGTTTCAAATACTGGGGAGTTTAAAAAACCAAAAAAAATATTACCTTGCAATTTGAAATGTGGCCAAAAAACTGCAAGTGGTAAATCCGTACCTTTGGAAAAGATTCTGTAAGGTCTTTAATGGACCACATATCTTGCAGGCTTCTATTTTATACCTAATCCCAAATCAAGAACTGGCAATTTTATTTGCACAGTGTCCCTGCACTTATTTTGGAGCATTGGTTCTATATGGTATCACAAAAAAAGTGAGAGAAAAAAAGTACCACAACTGATACCCCATCCTCATGTCCTGGAGCGCATTTTCTTTGTCATTTCTCCATTCTAATATTGCCCAGACCTCACACTGTTTATCTAATGAAATCTCTCAGCAGCCTGAGGCTGCATGGGCTTGCAGGCTATACCTCTTTGATTACAAGCTATCACAAACAATCAAAGAGCTGATACTTAGAAAAACAGAGACAGCAATGGGATTAATGTAATCATTACCCCCAGAAACAGAACTGTGCTTCAAGAGTCTTACATGATTTCCCAAAAGAAAGCTTCTATTATCAGCTTTTTTTAAGACAGCATTATTTACCAGCTGTCTATCAAAGCAGATTAATATATTCTAATATGTTTATTGATAGTATTTGATGTCCCAGTACTTCAAGCCCAAGGGCCTGTGGCAAACAACATATTTTTGTGTACCATTTTCCAGTCACATATATGAGTACAATGACAGCGATACAGAAGCAAGTCTTGGAACCAGAAATACACTAATATACATACAGTCTTCAAAGCAAAACTAGATGGTCAACAGACTCAAACTACTGGGTTTAAGGAGTGGGGGGGAATAGGGTGAAATATAGTTCTCAGTGGGCATGTCTACATGAGACACTAAATGCACAGTAGATCAATTCTACTGCACATTAGCAGGACACAGCAAAAGCCATGCTATTGCACTAATGAGCAGTAAAATTAGTCTACTGCGCATTAGCATCACTAAAAAAGGTGTGCAGTGGCATTACTGCACAATAGTGCTGGTTACTGCACATTCAGTTAGCACCTGTTATTACAGGTACTGAAATAAATACACAGTACCTACAGCGCATTAATGCACATGTAGACATGCCCAGTGATAGATGGGGGTAACACTAGATGACTCAGTGGTCTCTTCTGAGTTTGAAACTTACATTGTGAGAGGACAAAGAAATGCCTTGTTTCAATGCTCCTTGCAATGTGAACCATTTGAAATACCTTCTTCATTTGAACTGGCAACGCTCATTATATTTAATTCAAAAGTACACAATGTTCACATCAGGCCAGAGAGTCTGACCTCACCCAGGTCACACACTGAATTTGTTAACTCCTGCTAGAAACTGCCATCTCATAAAAAATAATGTTTACCATATAAAGGTTCTCTATCTTGTTACATGCCTCTGTGCAGCTATTAATTTGCTAAACCAGACTGATTTCTAATGAAAGGATTTATGCAACATCAAACTCACATTTTATCACCCAGCATAAATAACTAGAAGGGACACACACATATTCTCACTAACAAAGGACAATTCAAGGTTACAGGAACAGACCTGCAAAAGCACTACCCTTTTTATCCACAAAAAATGGTGGGTTCAGGTAATTTACTCAGCAATTTTTATTCATAATTTGTTATTGACAATAGACAATTTATTGGACATGAAATACACATGCTAGTAATTGATAGAACATGCTTAGATAATCCAGAATCTGCAAGTGACAGATATTACTTTTAGCAATAAGAAAGAAAGGAAATATTTGGCATCAGATTCATACCCTGTCTAAAATACTATACTAATTATGTTGCAGGATAACATGAAGGGAACTGGTGTAGGAGGCAGCAATGCTGAGAAGTCGATCAGAAATGAATGATAGCAAGGATGATAAAGAAGGAATTCAGTGAAAATGGCATGCCTTGCTCCCTTCAGCTCTTGAAAATCCCATATGGAATGTTAAAGGTACAATTAACTGTACAAAAGATCTAGGTTTATGAAGCTAATTACATGTTACTTAATAGCATCTAGGTTTAACTTGCTACCCCACAAAATCAACCTGATCCTTCATGATTTGTGAATAGGAAGTCAACAATACATCATACGGGATACCTGTTTATTATGATTCCACAGAACTAAACAGAGTCAAATGCTGCAACAAAATATGTCCCACAAACTTAACAGAGAATAACATACATCCTGAAGAGTTGAAAACTGCTATACTGCCACCCAGTGGTTGACATTCCTGTACACCAGGGGTGTCCAACCTTTTTTGAATGTGGGGCCGAATCATGAACTTTTTATCACCCAGTGGGCTGGCGAGCCATATTCATATTTTATCATCCCGCAGGCCGTATGTTGGACAAGCCTGATCTACATGAGCATCACTCTGGGGGAGGAGAAATGGTAAGCAGTAGAAGTGCCCACCTAGTCTCTTCCATTCCAAACCACAGCGGGGTGTTCCCCTACAGCCAGGACCCCAAGGCAGGGCATGATTAGGTAAAAGTCCCAGGCCCCCTGCTCTAAGCCACCAGACCTTGTTTCCCCTCCCAGAGCATCCTAGTTTCATCTCGCAGCAGCACAAAGCCGCTACCCCCAGCCTGCCTTCCTTCTCATCTCAACTTCCCCTGCCCTGTCCAACTGGGTCCACACTAACCCTAATTCATTTGCACTCAGGCTGCAGGCACTGCTTACCCACCAACTCCCACTTCCCTCCCAAGTGTCTCTTAGCCCCTTGGCACCAGTAAAAATGCCTTCCATCAGCCAACCCCTGCTACTGGTTGCATTTGTGCAAGGTGGCCCCATGGGCTCTCCATGTGTGGAGTAGTGAGACCCACCATGGTCATGACAGAGGCAGCTTCCAAACCAGCTACAGAAAAAGTGGGGTTGGGTGCTGGAGGCTGGGGCAGGCACCTCTGCCCATGGAATGCCCCCTTGGCCCTGCGCTAGTCAGGAAGAGAAAAGGGGGGCTATATGGCCTGAGGTGTACACGAGAATGCGTATGCATGTAGTGCCCACGACTTTGTGTGCGTGAACGTGTGTGTGGAGGCGGGTGTGCACGTGCGCATATGTGCATGCATATGTGTTTCTGAGTGCATGGGTGTGTGCACACCTGTGCTCACCCCTGGACGCTGTGTACCTGCCCATCCATCTGTGTTCATCCCGGCCCCTGCCTGTGTGAGTATGCGTGTGCAAACCCTGCCCCTGCCGTGTGCAGGGTGAGGTGGGGTGCATGCCCGCCTGCACGGGGCCACCTCCCCATGCCCAAGCCGGCTCTGCCCATGGCCACAGCCCCCCGCGGCAGGGTCGGTACCTGCCTGCCCAGGGCCATGGGCAGCGAGGCACATCCGGTGGGCACGGGGCGCCAGGACCCAGCAGAGCCGCTGGCCCGGGGAGGCCCCAGCACCAGCACTGGCCAGGTATCTGCTGGGTCTCTGCACCCCGCCAGACTGCACCGCTGCTGCCCCCATGGCCCCAGGCAAAGTCCCGGCCCCAGGGCAGCGGGGGCAGTGGGCTGGGGCTGTGCTCTCGCCCCTGCGCCTTGCTCTGTGCCCTCCGAGCCAGGCCAAGCACCGCCCCTGTGCCCGGCACGGCCCCCACTGGCCCCATGGGCTGGGGCTTCCCCTCCTGCCCGCCCAGGGGCCTCTTTTTAGACAGGAACTGTCACTGTGTTTGTAAAGTGCTTAGCACAATGGGATTCCACAATCTCATCTGAAACCTCCATCCATTATTGTAATAATAAAAATAAATTTTCGCTGCTAGCAAAACATACGTTTTCTGCATTTTTTTGCCAAAATTCCTGGAGAGAGACACCTATAAATCTTAGTAAAGTTGAAACAAGTCATAGAATCCCTGACATTTCAAGTTCATTTTCCCAATATTTGAGTGAGAATGAGGATTTTGATTATTCCAGATGTTTATTCCTTCATCTTCTACTGCTTTCACACATGGTTCTTCTCCATTATGGGATGCAAACTGTTACAAAAAAATTTAGAAATAAGTAATGTAAGTAACCAGATTCCTGGAGGAAACTTTGCTATTAACTGTATCATTGAGTTTAGTTGGAGGTAGCCGATACTATCATTAACACCTCAGTAATATTTCAGTTACTTAAAATTGTTATTTTAAACTGACTGCATTATCCAACTTCTATGTTAATACATTTTAGTTTATGTACTTATGCAGTGAACTTCACAATCCTAGCAATTATATCCTTACAGAATATCTTTTCATCATGTCACTTTAGCCCTAGTTTCCTGTTTGTCCCATGCAAGACTACCACAACAACAGGCAAGGTTATTTGGGTAGATGTGATATCTTTTATTAGACCAACTAAATAGTTGGAAAACAGTTCTTTACAAGGTTTCAGACACAAACACCCTTCATCAGGTATAGGAAGATGCTGCTGGTGTGTGTGTTCTCCAAGGTAGAAAAGAAACTAATTTACAACAAGCAGGTCTGTGAAAATGCAAATGAATGGAAGTTAGGAAGACAATGGGTGGAGATAGGAGGGAGGGGGAGGGGGGTAAATGTGTGAAGGAATGCAAGTGGTCAGAGGGGGCAGGTTACCTGGGGTATCGGATGTCAGGCAGGTTGTAATGTATCATAAATTCAATGCGACTTGCATCCCTTCACACATTTCCCTCCCTTCCCCGCCTCCCCTCCTATCTCATAGAGTCATAGAAAATTAGGGTTGGAAGGGACCTCAGGAAGTCATCTAGTCCAACTCCCTGCTCAAATCAGGACCTTCCACAACCAGATCATCCCAGCCAAGGCTTTGTCTAGTCAGGTCATAAAAATCTCCAAGGATGCAAATTCCACAGCCTCTCAGGGTAACCTGCCACAGTGTTTTACTACCTTCCCATTGTCTTCCAAACTTCCACGCATTTGCATTTGCATTTGCACAGACTTGCTTGTTGTCAATTAGGTTCTTTTCTACTTTGGAGAACACATAACACCAGCAGCGTCTCCCTATGCCCAATGAAGGGTGTTTGTGCCTGAAAGCTTGCAAAAAACTTTTTTCCAGCTATTTAGTTGGTCTAAAGATGGAAGTCTTTCCCTCTGGGTCCATCAGAGTGTCTTTGTGAGCACTGTTGAGTAGCTCTTTGATCAAAGAGCTACTCAACAGTGCTCACAAAGACACTCTCATGGACCCAGAGGGACAGACTTCCATCTTCAGCTCCCTCTGTCCCAAAATGAGGTTTATTTTCTACCTATGGGGACTTTTTATCATCTTGTACCATCTACACTTTTTCCCAGAGCTTGACGAAGGGACTTTGATCCCGAAAGTTTGCAGAAAAGGACAGTTTTCTTACCATTTTCCAGTTGGTCTAATAAAAGATATCATTTTGGAACCAAAAGTTCTATTTTTTTTGTATGTCTAATAAAAGATATCACATTTATGCAAAGAACCTTGCCAGCCTATGTCCAAGATAGCTCCAGCCAACAAGACTACCACAACCACTTTCTGACTTCCTCCAGGTTGCTCGTATCTCACAGTTACTCAAGACTGCAGCTACTTCCCAAATCCATGAGATGAAGTGTAATAAGATTACTGACTCAACTGAAGCAACATAATGAATTCCTTCAATTGGAAGGGCTACAAATTTAAGGATCTAACAGTTAGCAAGTATTTCCTATGTGAGGGAAGGGAAATATGGCAAGTGGCACTTCTTTATTTTCTTGCTTAGTAACTGAGGAAATGTAAGATTCCTAAATCAAACTCTTCTAATTAAACAGAAATGGAGGTTTGTTAGTCAATACTACATACCTTCAATGATTCAATCTAAGAAACTAGAGGCTTTGTTTCTTCACTGACATCTTTTGTTACATCAGAATCATCTCCTTGCAAGGCAGATGCTTCTGAGGAAGTTACAGTGGCCTGCAAAAATATGAACTTTTACTACTTGTCTCACAGAATATGATGAAGAACATCTGAACAGAAGCATCTGAACATCTTGTTCACTGACAACAATAGAACCATTTATCTACAAGTATCTCTGTTAAACAGGAGTTGGAGAACACGTTATTTGTGCATAAGAACTAGAATAAGTTTCAGATCTTACATCTCATTAAATATTAAACATTTCCTTCTCTTACATAGTAACTGAATCTAAACTCTGCCTGCTAATTCCTGTGGAAACAGCCTGATCTCAACTTTTTCATACCTCACTAATGCCAGTTACATTGTTACTGTGATTAGTTTTCAGACTTACTCTTCCAGAAAAGCCTGTTCTTTCTTCCAGGCTCATTATACCCCTACAACTTGCCTCTGAGAGCAGCCTTTGGAATTAATAGGACTTTCAATTTCCAAGCTTTCCCCTTCTTACTCTACCCCAAGGTATTTGGTTATACCATTCTAGACTCCTCCATCTTTTTTTTCACCACAGCTCTTTTAGACTCAGTACTTACCTGAGTCTGAGAGGCACATCACACAAAAGTCAAAGAAACTAGAATTAAGATATCAATCTCAAAATATCAATTAAAACTACAGAAAAATGGTGCATGCTCCAAGCAGTTATAAAATTCCGGTATGAACAATTTTAAGTAAATCTCATGTCCATTTAGTTAGTCGTCTTCTCTGCATTATTGTTGTTATAATTGTTTTGTTTGTTTGTTGTTGCAGTAGCACATAATGATGGACTGGGATACCACTGTGTAGACAGGTACAAATACATTATAAAAAGTCCCAGAGTATTTACAGCCATTATCAAACAAATACAAGTAAGATGAGCATAATTATTTTGTCATATTTTCCAATTTAACCTTTTCATTATTAAAAATAAAGGTATTTACTTTCCCAGATGATAATTCTTCCTCTGCTACTATAGCCTTCTTCTCTCCTTCCTCTCCTAAGACTGAAGTTTCTTCAGTGTCCTTTATTTTATTTCGCTCTTCATCCATTTCAAACCACTCTTCAATACAGAAAAAAATGCTTCATGAAACACAGAATTAAACAGAAATCATGACTGCCCTTGTCCTTTAAAAGGAAAATGCCTTTTTTTACTAAAAGTAAATAGAGTAAAACTGGGAAACAGACTATAATCATATTAAAATTATATTAGGGCTTTTTGTTTGTTGGGGGGAAGCTCTTAAATACAGGTGTATCTTAACATGACAACATATTTCATCATCAGGATTATCTCTGAAGGACTCCTATGGATATAATAAGGTGCTTCAAAAAGAAATGTTATTAATATGCACTTCCAAACTGACATACATTTATATCAGACTGATGTCAGTATGGACAAGGTTACACACACAGATCCAGTCTGTTTATTGAATTAAGCCTAAGGCCATAACAATATCGAGTAGATCTCAGAGGAAGCATTTAAACCAATATAACTTACTGGTCAGATCTACGACTCCTCTAGGTTTCATGAGCTGTGGTACTCCACCTGGAGTAAAACAATTTACATGTTAGTTACATGTTCATGCATTATCTATACGAAAAACAGTTCTACAGAAGGCAGTTCAATGCCAGTGTCCAAAGCCACAGAGTCCATAACCAGCTTGATGTTTATATTTCAAATACTTCTTTAAGCTAGTATACTCTTTGTAAATGTACTGAAGTACAGTAACGTGCTTACTGAGGCAGCATTCAAAAACACAGTTATTTATTAAAATGCAAGTGGTGCAGCAGAATGATTAAGGGGTCTTTCTATAGCCCCAGATTCATGAGTTCACGCCCTGCTATAGACTCATGCCAAAGGCTACCCCCCAAGCCATATGTCTACAAATGGGTACCTGGTCAAAGGTGGCTTGATCTAGCTTGTGTGTTGCTGGCACAAAAAATTGCTGCGTCTTAACCCCAAGAGTCCAATATGCTGTTGGGCTTGGATGGACTTTCCTTCTATAAAATGGTACAGAAACTATCATACAATTAATGACTTATCAGTCAATATTCTTGACATAGAGGTGAAGTTCTCATTAATATGAACCTTACCTACTAATGGGAGTTACATATTTACAGAAAGACTATGATGTGCCACCTTCAGACATAATTTGGAGCTAGCTCCATAAAGGAAATTAAGTTTTGCTTGACAGCTATTGTGGGATCCGCACTATAAATTAAACCCTCAAAATCCTTCCTTGGCTGCCACCCAGCCCTGGGGGTAGCAAAAATCCCAGCAGTGGTACCCACCCCCCGCAACTTACTATTTGCTGGATCTTCAGTTGCTTCTTTTGCTTGGTCCTAGAAGAAAAAAAATACAATAAATTAAAGAAAAATATTGGACACATCACTGTTCTACTGAAAAAAAATACAGTCGGACCCCAAATTACATGGGGGATACATTCCTGAAAAACACCATGTAAGTTGAAACCGTGTAACTCGTGTCATTAAGCCAATGGAAAACAGGGGGATAGGGACCTGGGAGCAAGATTTGATAACATTATTTCATAATGAAAGGATGTTTAAACACAAAATAATAGAATTAATAGTCTTATTAAAACCTTTACTCCCGGCTACATGCTCATACAGAGACAAAGCTTTAGCCCTAATTGCCACGCCGTTGACAACTGCTCCTTTTGTATTGGTCATTTCATTGATCCAAAGATTGAGTTTCTCAACCTTATCTAAATGAGGAATTCTAGTCACCAACGACACTCTTGTGGTTTTCACACAGTCTCTAATTTTTTTCTCACTTTTTTTAATGGTACACACAGTTGATTCACTTAAACTGTATTGGTGAGCAATCGACACAGCACTATTGCCTTCTCTTAATTTATCAAGGATTTCTATCTTTTGGGCCAGGATGATAGACTTACGTGCTCTTTTGGGCACAACATCAAAGGCTTTCTTTGACAACATTTTCACAAATATTCAGGGGTTAACATAACCAAAAAGATGGACAATCTGGGAGGAAACAACAAGTGTCTGCTTACATAACGTTGGCATCTCCAAACTAACAACTGCTCTACTGCAAACAGTGTAAACGTGAAGCAGGGTATCGTGTAAGTTGAAACATGGTCATGTTATATAAAGCATGTATATGTGAATCAGTGTAACTCAAAATCATGTAACTGGGGGTCCAACTGTACTACTGAATAGCTTCTCTTGATAAAAGGAACGTTTAAAATAACCTTGTGAATTAATTGTGTATTGGGGAATCAGAGTAACTCTCAGTATTGACTTGAGTTTTAAGTACCAGATCATTTTTTATAAACTCTAACTAGGTTAGAAAGTCATGTGCATTAATTCTTCAAATATGAGTCTTCAGAATCATTTATACACCCACTGAAAACAAAACAAAAAAAGAAAAACTTTAGTTCAGTGATTTGCTTTTTCCCTCCAGAGAAAATAGGTCTAAATGCATGTTAGGTATATTTGTTTACACTGGGTGCATCTACGTGTGAGCTTTTCTGCAGAGTTGATGAATTAGCTACACAGTAAAGCACCACAGTCTGCCCATATTAGGGCGCAGTAAACTAGTTACTTCCACTGTAGGATAGTACTGTCCAGGACAAGTATTATCCTACAGTGGAGTAATTACACGCACTCAGATGTAGACTATGACCAGGGCTGGCGGAGGCCGGAGGTTGCTACAGTGTTGGGGCAGCCTGACAGCTAGCTCTGCACTATAGCACCCTTGTGCCACAGCCAGCCTGTCTGGCACCTGCCACCATCACCTGGAACCTGGGGTTGACCCTACAGGCCTCCTGCCAGCCTGGGGCTGCTCCACCCCAGCTCAAATTTTTGTGGTCCTGGATGCATGTGAAGATTCTGTGCCTGGGAAGTAGCTGACTCTGGCACAAACTGCATCAGTTTTTATTCAGACACATTAATAGCATGTATAGATGAGCTCACTGAGTGTTTCTGACCCCATCCTGCATAGAATTGTGCACGTAGTCCCCCTGGAAGAATTATTTGTAGGAGTGGAGTGTATGCCTAAATGGTATTCTCATGTGCTTTATCATGTAGTAAAACCAACATTGTTAATATAAGATCATGAGCGGTCTTTCACCTCCATCAAATAGTACAAAATTCAAAGGTATGGTTCCCATAGGTCCTGTAACTACACCCTGTTCCTTCTAAAGAGAAGAAAACCCTAAAGCAGAGCATATTTCCATGGTTTGATTGTGCTAGGTTTGAAGTCATAAAGAGGACCTGCAGTAATTTAATAGGATTTCAATATGAGGGAATTTCCTGATTTCTGAGTGTATAGAACTTCAACTTTAATTATATGTTAGTATTTTTATTTGAATGTAATGCTTTTGGCTAAAAAAAATCCTCCCTAAAACCAAACCATATTGCATACCCAAATCTTAGCAGTATGAACACTAGAGTTAATGTCAAAACTCCCACTAACCTCCATAGTATAGAATGAGATCCCTTAATACTCAAAGACTGCACAGAGTAATAAATGCACCAGTGCCTTTAATTAAATATTCAAATGAAACTTCCCACACTCTTCAGACAGCTCTTGCTTCCAGCTCCCCACCTGATAAGGTTCTCTGCTATGTATTACCAGTAAAAATGTCAAATGCCATCCATCTCCAGGATGCAGATCTCTGAGATGCATAACTTGTGAAATTTATCACGACAGCCTTTTAATGCCATTTTAAAAAGCAGAAGGAATTTATTTTTTAAGGAAATGAGGGGAAAGATGGATTACCAAGATTGAAAGGGAGGGTGGGAACCAACAGTTTCCTTGCACTGACAGCTTTATACCAGTGGTGCTCAACTTTTGGGCCTCATGGGCTGGGTGAGTAGCATGAAGTTGGTTCATAGCTAAATCAGGCCCCATGCTGCCTCCCTCAGCTCCCCATCTGGGATCGGGCCTCACAACTGCCTCCCTTTGGCCCATGTGTGCTTGGATCATCCCTGTGCTGCCTCTGCCCAGCCCCCATACACCCTCATCAAGCCTGCAAGCAGGGATAAGGCCCAATCTAGTGTGGGCCCAATATTAAGCCCCACATTAAATTTGATCTGTTTGATCCAAATATAAACAATTACTTTATACAAATTTTTTGCAGCTACAATTAAGCTGTTTCTTGGTTTCACAACGTGATGGACTTGGAGTTGCTAGTGACACTTTATGAATATTATATGCTCTCTCTTTTTTTTATTATTGCAACAGTATTCAAATATATGGTAATAATTCAAGATGATGCTGTCAAAGCAAAGGCAGGAAAAAAATACTACAACTTCAAATAACCACCCATTTACCAAGACACAAGCTACAGTACAAGAGCCATTTGGTTTGATGTTCTACCCCTTACTAAGCTCACTAGCCCTACTTTGTCATGACTGTGCAAAAGGGGTCAGGGAGGCAGCAAGACTGTGTGAACAGGAGAACAGAAATTATGCTGGACTAAAAGATGAACCATACACCTGAAGAAGGGGGAAAGGAACCCATCAGGTCCTGACCAAGAGCATGAGTCTAGCTAAGCAGACATGTATGTAGAATAGGGGTGAGCAAAATATGGCCCACAGGCCAGATCCAGCCCATGGGGTAATTTTGCCTGGCTTGTGGTGGGTCCCTCGACTCCTGCTACTGCTGTTGCCCCCACGTCACTCTGCTCCGTGCCACTCCACCCCATGCCAAGCCTATGGGACTGCGGCTGCCTCCGCTTCACAAGCATCCCAGGGCAAGCAGTGGGCTGGCACAGGATGGGAGTGCCCCAGCACTACCTGCCTCCCCCAGCCCAGACCTGGTCGTGGCCACTGCAAGTGGCAGGGCATAGAGTCATGGCCAGGTCTACCCCCTCCCTCCCTTGCCTGCAGGTTGAGTATCCCAGGCTGGGGGAGAGGATGGATAAGGGGAGGAGGAAGGGAGGCTAAGTTACTCCTGAGCCTCCTCCATGGGGCTCACAGCCCTCCTCTTTCACATGTGGGTGCTCCTGCCCCCAGCGAGGCCCAACAGTAGCTTCCAGCTCTGCCCTAGCCCTGCGCTGTCACTGCCCCAAGACCTCAGCCCCAGATGCAGCTCCAGGGAGCCATGCAGGTGGGGTATGCAGGCAGGCAGGCAGCTGCATCCAGGCCCTGGATCATGGGGCTGTGACAGTGTGGGGCCAGACAGGGCAGAGCTAAAATCCACTCCCTGCACACCTCTCCCCATGGAAACTGTACCTGTCGCAGGGGCATGTGGGCAGCGGATCATGGCTCTGACCTAGCCCCAGCCCTGCAGTCACCCCCCTGTAATCCCTCCCTGTGATCCCAACCTCGTCTGCCCCTCCTGCTCCTGAACACCATTGCCTGGAGCACCATACCACATAGGGAGTTTTGGTGAGTTGTTGTGCTGGGGCAGGAGGGAGGTGCTACTGACCCAGCCTGCAACAGCTGCCCAAAACAGCCCATGTGGCCCTCGGGCCCAAATAATTGTCCACCCCTGATATAGACCATTTGCTGCTTTATAGTCCTTTTCTCTGAAATGCTTTATTCCTATGGTTAAATGAACAAAATTCGTACTTTGGTCAAATGTTTCTTTTGACCAAATGCACAGAACATGAACTCACCATCATCAACACCTTGTTCATCCAGAAAAATAGGCACAAGACATCATGGCAACACCCACAATCTAAGCACTGGCACCTGACTGACATCTGAGCTACGCTAGGAGCTGATGATTGCTGAACTGATCACTGACTCATCTGCTCGGTTATGTAATTCAAACTGGCTCCCTAACAATGGCTACAGCAGAAGCAATATCAACAAAAGATCAATGTTAAAGGACTCAAGGACCCAATCAAGCAAGACATCTTCTACCAGTGCCTCAATGAAAAACTGGCAAATTCCAAACAGCAATGAGAGAATGTCAGCACTGCTTGGGGTGCCTTCAAGTCCACCTTCATCAGCACCTGCAAAGAGACACTTTACCAGGAAACATCAAGACTGGTTTGATGAGAATGACTGAGAGATACAAGAGTTGATCGACTGCAAGCACAAGGCCTTTTGTGCTAGGCAGAATGACCTTAACTCCAAGCAAAAGAAATTGAATAACCAACAAGCCAAAGCAGCCTAAAGGAGGACCTGTAATATGAAGAACAGATGGTGGGATCTGGAGCTGATTGAATCCATGCCAAAATCTACAAGCAGGGGGGAAAGGAGCTCACATCACAGCTCCATGCCCTCATCTTAAAGATCTGGAATAACACCACCTGAGAAAATCACAGATGACCTCAGAGATGCCAAGATCATGACAAGCTTCAAGAAAGGAGACATGTCCGACTGTGGAAACTACAGAGGGATTG